GTAAGAGTTTAAGAATCTGAATTGATTACATCTTTTTGATTCATTCATATTAATTCAATCATTTTAAACCTTGTTAGTTACAAGAAAGTTATTAATCAATAGTTAGCATAGCAGCAATTTTTATTTGCACTGTCAATCATTACAAGATTCATTCACAGATTGGCAATTAAATAATTTCTATTTATGGATTAACTAATCAAAAATTTTTATTTTCTAAAAAAACTAATTACGCAAATACAATAATCTAAAAATTCTTCTATCCTGCTCCATTCTTTTACATGTTCATTCAATATTAATTTTAAACAGTTGCCAAGACTCAATTCCATTCTACTACCATTGCTAGCATCATCATCATCACCATTATCATTTTCAACTATAATATCACCATATATTTTTAGAAAATGATTAAGATAAGCTTGAATTAGTTCAAAATCTTTTTTGGATTTAAGATGATTTTCTAAAGCTATCAAAAAAATTCTTATATTAATAAAGTTGTTGTCAAGACTTAGTGATCTAAGTTCAAAATCAATTGCAGACGGATTTAAGGTTTTTATGTGATTGAAAAAATTTGTATCTAATAAAAAAGTTTTTCAATATATAGATTACAATAAATAAATGATAATTAAAAGATTTAAAAAATATAAATGAAAACTTACAATCTCTCAATTCATGACATCTTTTTAATGTTAGTACAAATTCAGTTTCCACTTTGATATCACTTGATTTTATTAATTTACCATTGCTTTTGGCTTCTTTGAATAATGCTTCATTAGAATTGGGTGTAATCACAAATTTTGGTTCCACACCTGGTAATGTTGGCAGGAAAAATGGTGCCTTTTCTGGTTTTTTAGGTGGTTCTTTGGGTTTATTATGTTTCTAATAACAATAAAAACTATTATTATTATCATTGAATTGGAGGTCTTTTACTCATGAATTATTCTAAAATTATTCTTTATTTAATCACCTTTATTGTTTCAAGGTTCAACAAATTTTGCCATTTTGACTTTGGGAGTGATGATAATGTGATCATATTCTGTGTAATTTGTTCTGGTGTCTCAAATGATTCTTTTGTTGCTAATGTAGTATTATGATTTATCTCTGTATCTTTTTTAATAATAACAAAAGTAATATGATTTAATAATAACAATAACAATAATTTGATTTTTAAAAAGTCATATTATCTACATAATTTTATTTTTAAAAAGTCATATTATCTACATAATTTTATTTAACAAATAATAACTACCTTCTTCTTCACTATCAATTCCAGCAGTAGTTGGAAGTGGTGTAAAATAATTATCAACTTGTTCCATTTCATCATTTACTTTGTTTAAAGTAACATTTTGAAACATAGTCCGGTTTGCCCTGTACAATAGATATTTAAGTAATTAAATAAATGTTAATTGGTTTTTTGTTGTTTCAAGTATTCAATAAAATTGATTTATCTTAATACCATAAAAATATTCCAACATTGTTTACATGTGATGTTGCCAAAAAATCTCCTGAAGGGGAAAATGTTAAACTTGTTGCAATATCATTCACTCTAAATATGTCAATCAAATGACCTGTAGGTAAATCCCAAGTACGTATTGTAGCATCAAGGGATGTTGATACTATCCATCTTCCATCAGGGCTAAATGTCTATTAAAATTATTTCATTATAATTAATTTTTGTTTGTATATTAAAAATAGGCTGGGAAAGTTTTTTACCAAATCAGTAATTCGATTTCTATGACCCCAGAACTCTCTCACTATCTTATGGGTATCAATATCTATCACTCGAATACATAAATCATCACTACTAATTGCCAACAATTCATTTTTCTTATGGAATCTAAGTAGAGTTATGGGTGATTGTACATCAATAGTATCTAAAATTTTGGCTGTATTAAAATCCCAAATCTTTTTGGAAAAAAAATTTACAGCAAATAAACATTTAGTTGATAAAAATTTGATTCTGGTTTTAATTAGCCAATTTAATAAATAATACCTTAACACTCCCATCAAGAGAACTGCTTAATAAAATTCTATTAAGAAGATCACATGATAACCCAGTGATAGATTTTGTATGTCCTATATATAAATAACTGAAAGGTTAAAAATAGAATCAATATATGTAATCGTTGATCTAACTAATAAAAGCAAACTTACCTTCCATTCCTTCAAATTTTCTTCTGGAGATGCCTGATTGCATATTAAACATTTCAATTTTTGCAGCAGCAGTACCAATAAATCCAAAATTTCCACATGAGCTAATAGTTGAAACCTGAATGAATCAATAAGATTTAATTTAAAATTATATTAAAAATTATTATATCATTTATATATTTATTTAATTTTAATATAATCATATAATTTTTACCTTTATTATTTCTGAACTTTTAATAATATGTTTACCTATGACCTTATTTTGGAAGGACCATGTATAAGCTTTCGGATGATTAATATGACATGTAATGATATGGTCCCATTCTTTTTGTTTAGCTTCACCTATTTTAATAAATGATTAAAATTGTAAGCCATGTAAACTGTCATTAAAAAAAATTGATTGATATATAACTACATGCAGAAAAATCAATTATTTGAGGTAATTTCAGATTATCAATATTTGTTTTTTTTTGCTTAGATTTTTTCAGGAGAGAACCTAGAATAAAATAAATAAATTTTATTATTTTATTATTTGAAAAATTTTTGTAAATTGAATTTTTTAACACTTAAAAAAACCTTGTGATAATTCTACACTTTGTTCATCACGTTGTATTGAAAATGTCCTCAAGGATTTGTCACTACCCGCACTAAGAATAAATTGACCTCTGGAATCATAATATTGAATTTTAGTTGGTGGTGCATGATGACCACTTCTGGATTTTAAAAGTCTTGGAATAATTCCTTCAATCTCGTCAAATATCCATTGCTTAAATTACAAAAGGTAAAATAATATTTTGATTAAATCTATTCCTGGACTTTCCTAACTTAGTTAGTCATACACACATACTTTTATTGAATTATCAGAACCTGATGTAATTAATAAAGGCTGCCCATTAAGAAATTTTATTGAAGGTATTAATCCATCATGTGCACCTTTCATTACATGTGACAATCTTTTATTATCAAGATCCCATAAGAAAATATCACCACACATATTTGCAGTAGCCATGAAATGTTGATAGTCTTTTAAGTTCAATAACAAAATTTTTGTTAACATATAATGTCTAACAACTAAATACAAAAGAAAAGCCTTCGATTCACCTGTTCTAAATGAAATTGCAGTAACTTGCTCTTCTTGTTTAAAAGATATTATCAATTCATCAGCTCTTATATTATATAATTTTATCATTCCATTAAGCAAACCAACAGCAATAACATCAACAACTGGTGATTGAATTAGATATGTGATTGGTGATTCAAATGAAGCAAATGAATAAACTAACTTACTATCAGGAAAAGTTAAGAGTTAATCAAGATAGAAAATGTCAATTTTCATTTCAATTTCTTTTTTTTTTTAAAAAAATCAATTATATATTAAAATCATATACTTTTTATGAATGTTCCAAATTTGCATTGTTCCTTGTTTACTGCCAAGTAATATTTTATTTAAATAAGTACTGGGATGAATAAGTGTTGATATAACAAAATTTTCATCAAATTGAATTACAGATTCCAATTCTAAAAATTTATATGTAGACAATTAATTTCAAAAAATAAATTAAATATAAATATCATTACTAATTTACCTCCAGACTCATGATCATATAAAGTTACAGAATTATCATCACTTAATGCAATAAGGTGAATTCCTAGCAAAGTCAATGAAAATATAGTTCCTTTGCATTTTTTTTTGAATTGCATACTCTAAAAGATCGTAAATTAGGTTGATTTTGATATTTGAGATAAATTAATTTTCAATAGTAAATTAAGTGACTTACCACTTTTCCACGATTAAACATTATTATATCTTGTGAACAAGCTACAAATGTGTTTTCTTTGAAAGAAGCCAATGCTGTAATTGGTTTCTCTGTTAATGAGCCTAATAAAGAGTATATTATTATTACTTAAACATTAAAGTAAAAAGTGGTATTATATGAATTTCTTCTTACCAACAATTTTTAATGTGAGTTTTGAACACTTATTTTCAAAGAAAATAACATTGAGCTGGTTAATAATAATCAATAGTGAAAAAAATTACAATTTATAAATATAAAAAAAATTTTAACATACATCATATACATGAAAACTATTTCCAACACATGCAGTTAAGAAATAAGCATGTCCCAATGCTTGGAGATCAAAAGGTATATCATTAGTAACATAACCTATAGCACGAAAAGGTTGAAAAATTCGGTTAAAATATTGAGTTTTCGGATTATCACTGTTTAATTCTTTAGTTTTCCTTTTCTTAATCATCTTTATCATAAAATATTTGCCAAAAAAAAATTAGATTTTGATGATGATTTTGCCGCGTCACGATCTCCTTCCAAAACTCGTAAGTCGTGCGACTTTCGTGCAGGTTTTTTGCCGATTGTCTCTTTTTACGTCTAGCTGTGCCCGGTTTTTTCGGTTTTTGGCACGATCAACGTTTCCACAAAAAATTTGTTGTTCGGCAAATGTTTATAATAAAATATTGCTTTGCTTTGCAACTTTGCAATGCTTTGAATTGAATTGCAAAGCGAAGCGATGAAAGCAATTGCAACCAATGATCAGGAAAAATCTTTGTTTTTCAAATCTAATTTTTTTAGGAAAGAAATTTTTGCTTTCTTTTTTGAAAAAAATTGATTGCGAAAAAAAAATTACAAATATCGGGCGGGGTTGTGAAAGTAAAAAAATAATAAAAATTATTCAGCGTCACAATTCTCATCACCTTTGTCATTTACCACTGTCATTCATTATTATCATCATCGTCCCTATAAAAAATTTTTTTACAGAAAGTCCTACAAAATGTAAGGAACTGCGGGATGTGTAAGGAAAGTCCTACAAAA